GCTCTCGTACTCCGTCCCTTCTCCCGCCCATCTCCCACATGCTTGATAGGCATGGGAGAAATGATCATACGGAGCCTGGGACCTCGGGACGGACGGAACGACGGACAACCATGCATCGCAGAGTTCAAGCGAACCCGCCCAGTGCAGCCAAATTTAAGTGTTCAGTCAGCTACGAGTTCGGCGACGAATTCCTTCTCACCAAGCCCGCCATGCCGACCAGCCCCACCCACCGACCAGCCCGCTGGCCCGCTCGACGCTCGCTGACCCCAGTCGGTCAGAATCGTGACTGCTCCCACGGCGCCGGCCGACCGACTATCGGAGGCTGGTGCTCGGTCACCACCGCACCACCGCCGGGAGCACCACGCTGGAATGTGCTGGTAACGCGGCTGAGGCGGCGGCGGCTGGCGGCTGGAGCTCGCCAGCCGGCCGGCCAGCCGTCTGCCCACAGTCAAACACCGAACAAATGTCCTGCCAGGTCCAGCCAGAGCAAGATACGGACGCCAGGAGTGACGCTTGCTGAACTGCGGGCATCTGAGCCTGTGCGGTGACTCTGATTCAGAGCCAAAATCAACCAGCTGACACGTAGCTACCTGTATGAACACCGGCTGTCTGAGTTTGACAAGTCACACGTTCCAATACCAGCCGTGCGCTGCCGGTGCCGCTGATCCTGTAGGTATGTGACGAACACCAACAGCGCGGCGTTTTGTTTATCAGCGTTACTCGCGTCGGACATGGCGTCACGTCACGTCACATCACGTCACGTGAACGTCACGTAACGGTGACGGTACCGGAGACGCCGCGCCGGCTGGCCCGACAGATGGACTATCAGCGGCTAGGCGGCCAGCGAGGTGGCATCGATGAACGGTGACAGCGTCTCCGTGCGATAACTGTTACCATGCCCCCGCGTCTTATGCCTGCATCGGATGTCGAAGGGTAGATAGCCCTCTGCTGAGCACATTTTTTCACACTCAGAATGGTGCTCTGCCGTTCTGACCCCTTTTCAGTGACGAGTGCCGTCGTGTCAGCGAACTACCCGGCAGCGCCTAGGACTCCCTAGCAGCGAGCTCGGACGCCTGAGCAGCGGCTCTGGCAGCTGAGAGCTGTCAGACCGCCGCGCCGCCCGGGTTAATCCAGCCTTCCCAGGAAAATGATAACGCCTTACTGGTTTGATTAAAGCCGAGATCCACTCACATTAAAGCACGGCTCGTCCACTGCAAATCAGCTCCAGAGGTAAGGTATACGGAGCATCTGGTTCATTTGCATTTTGATCTGGTGGCGGTGGCTGATACGCCGTGGATCATAAATTAAAGCCAGCTATACCTTATCCTTAAGAAAAAATCAGCATGTCCTTCGCAGGTGAATTATTAATAATACCCGATACTTGAAAACATGCAATGCCTGGAAAAATACGTCAACTCGAACCCACCATTGAAAATGACCCATGATTTCAGCAGATATTAAACAGCACACATATGTACATATTTATCACCTAAGCACGCGAACTTCGAAAGATCAAGTGAACAAACTACAAATCGCATTACGAATCGGCCTACGCTTCATAGCACGTATGCATTCGACCTTCGCCATCCGATTGAGCAGACTATTCCTTGAAACCATTTGACGCCAAAACTACCGGTATTGTCATGGACAAGTTCGACCAAACCATAGCACAATACCAAGGCAAATGGCTCTAACGCCCGCTTTACCTAGGATCAGATACCGCAGCTTTGCAATTGTGATGATCGCATTCGAGGCGCGATTTCAATCGCTCTTGAGTAGCAATGAAGGCAGGATAGGGAATTGCAGCTCGTTCCGCTGATGTTTCCTATTTCCGAAAGACGACCTGCCTATGACACTGATCGAAGCCGTGCGTGGAATGGATAAACCTTAAACATCCACTAATAAACGGGGAAGATTATATCAAACGAGAACCTATCCACTCTCAATACAGCTTGAATGGGTCCGCCCACTGACAAATCCCACAAAGATAACGGTGCTTCAGACCTGCCTAGTGGCGTGCCTATTGCGGCACTAGGGAGAATTGAGAAATATATGTCTTTGGGCATTTGTCCGGTCCGCCGTGCCTCGCATTTCGAGCGTTTTCGATCAGCTGATAACCAGCTCGTTGGTCGCCACGCTCTCCCGCTTTGGGAAGTGAAAGGAGTCAGAGTCGGGGGTCGGTCCAATCGCCCGTGACCGAAACACGCGACCGGGTAAAAATCACGCCCTTCTCTTCCTGAGTCGGGTCAAAACGGCCCCGCATACTCCATTATTCAACACTAGTGGCCGCCCTGCATGCAAACAGCCAATTTCACACAGCATTCGAACGACAGAACGCATTGTTTCCCAACCAGCCTTACTGGAGGCTCCAGCAAGCAGCCATTTAACACGCCGTGCCCCTATACGGCATTCGCCTGAAGCCCACATGGGGTCCATCATCTCTCCGATCCTCCCTCCGTGGGCGCGATCGTGGGCGGGACTCGAGTGGTGGATGACTCCCAGCGGCGCCGAGCGCCCACACCGACACCCGAGCCAAGGTCAGGGGCTGCGACCCAGTGTGCCGCGGGCCGAGCGAGCCGGCGAGCTGACCAACACTTGTGAAAGTACTCCAGCCCGCCGCCGCCGTCGGGACGGGGCCGGGGTCGGATCGCGGTCAAGCTGTCCAGTTGAGCAAGACGGGGCGGGGGCAGAGGGGGCTGACAGCGGCGAGGCCGGGGGCGCCGGAGGTAACGCATGGCTGACGAGCCGCCGCCCAAGGTCCGCCTCAGCCGGTCACCGGGCAGCGGGTGGCTGCACTCTCTGCACTCTCTGCACCGCGCACCGTGCACACTGCACCATGGTGTGCAGGTGGTGACCGGCGAGCACGCGCGGGGCACGGACTGGCGGACAGCTGCTCCCAAGCCTTGCCCAGCAGCGAGCACCTGGGGCGTCCGACAGCGCCGACCGGCCGGGCAGACCGCAGGTCCTCCGCCCTGTACCACCCCCACACTCACCGGCCGCCAAGGTCCGCACGTGCACACAGTCTACCAGGCACCCGACCGAGAGCCAAATTAGCGTGCAAATGAGACCCGTCAACAGGGAAGTGACGGCTGGCAGGCAAAAACAGCGACAAACACCGACCGACAACACCGGCAACTCAGCACCAGCCAACGCCGACCAAAACAGCATTGTGCAAGGCGGACCGGCGTGCTCCGCAAATAAGGACTGATTTTGGACCCAGCGGCGGTCGAGACGGACCAATTGGGAAGGGCGCGGCACGAGCGATGAGCCCACGAGGAAGAACGGTCGGTGCGATTGGGGCGTGGGATGGGCTGGGAGTTGCACGAGATGAGATCACCGAATGGTAGCCGGCAGCCGAAGAAGCGAAGGGGTGCGGCGGCCGGGATCGAGTGTTGAGCCGGCTCTTGCGTCGTGACCTTATGTAATCCACTTATCCGCACGATATGCCGTGCACGACTGCCCGGTGCTTGGAGCGGCGAGCGTGCAAGGTGCGTGCACCGCACAGTGCACAGTCCATGCAGGCTGGCATGCCAGGAGTGCACTGAAGCAATCAGCTCCATTGTATGGGATAAAGGGCGCAGGCCATTGATTACTAGCCAGCATGTGGCAGCAACCTACTGGACGTGTTCTCTTGTTATCTAATGGCCGTGAACTTCGAGCCGAGTAAACTTCTGGTCATTTCCTCCTAATCCGAGAGCCTAAAGGCTTAACCAGCATTCCACACCCACATACAATAACTCCAAATCACTAGAATTATGTCGTATCGCGGTGATAAGTATCTATGACGTTGACCTTTCTTTCCGTTCTATGTAGTTCCCTATATCTAACACTTTCCGTCATCTCATACCATGAATAGGCGTACTAGCATATCCTCAGGAAAATATCCTCTGACTACCACAAAGTGATCTTTAAAAACCAATCCCTGACTTTTTCTAAAACTAACTATATGCCGAAAGCCAAAGCGACCATCTACTGCCTCTCCCATACAGCGAGTCCACCGTCAGCTGCCTCTCCACAGAGCTGCGGTCTGTCTGTCTATATCTAATCTGGCCTCGTGACGGGAAACATCGGGGAACAGCAGCTGGCGCCCGCACAGCAGCCGACTCAGTGACGTCATCGTGACGTCACTGTGCGACAGTCATCTGTGTACTGAGGCTGCTATCAGTGGATGTAGTGTGTCGGGGGGGGGGGGGGGGGGGTGAACGATGACGGGTATGGCCAGGGATTACCACGGGGAGTGGGATGCTGCTGAGTTGGAAAAGACCGCAAGGGAGATAAGTCCTCAGAAGGGAAGCGAAGGCGACGGAAACAACGGTCGAAGTCTGACGAAACGGAGCAGAAGGAGACTTTGGACGGTTGGGTCATCTTGCGTTACTACGGTATCTGTGTTACCAAGATATTTACTCACCAAGGGGCACATTTCTAAAAACGAATTATCTCTCCATTACGTAATGATCGCGTTTTGGTCCACATAGCTCATTGGAGAGGACGTCGACATCCCTAAACAACGCGGTAATGGCTACGGCACGGCACGACAGGACAGGTAGAGAGCCATTAACGCGCCACAGAAAACCGCAGCTCGAGTTTCTCTCACGATAATTAACTGGCGTTGAAATCTATCCTACGCAGAACATTTTAAGTGTCCGTTCAGGCACTAAACAAAGTTCTCGATTTCGATGTCGGTCTTTTGGAACGACAGACATTGACAATTTTGATCATCAAGTCAGGCTAAACAATTAGCATCTTTAAAATACCGTACTGATCAACCATGACATACCACGAACAATCAAACTGCGTTAGAATGCGACGATTGTAGCACATGGGCCGCACTTGCGTTGCAGGCGCACCTGTATCATTCAATCGTCCACATGGTTAGGGTGCAATGTAGGTATGCATATAACTAGCTTACAACCTCTCCATAACGGACTATCTATGCCTGTTTATGTGCCATGTGCGCAATGCTTCCCCTGTTTTGCTGGTATCCCCGCCCTGGAACTGACCTGAGCTGGCCGTGAACACCTCGTCTGGATCGATGCTGTTGGTGCGAGCCCGCGGGTCGAGCTCACGCTCAGGGGTGTCGTCGACAGAGATGGTGCGTAGCAGGGGCACCACATCTTCGTCCGAGTCGCCGCCCGACGACTCGCGAGTCTTCTCACGGGTCTTCCGTCTGCGGAGAGGATAATCACCGGTTAGATCAGGGGTAATGGGTGAAAAGTGACCAAAATATATCTTAAGATGTTGTTTTCAAATAAGGATGATCATTGATCAATGATCATTGATCATTTTTAAAGACATTCCCGTTAGCCGATATGATGAAGATAAATAAACTGACAAAAGAACAATGCGAACGAGACGCACGACGCTACTCGGTGGATGAATCAATCCGTGATTACGCGATTAGCGAGTTATTCAGCTTCCTCTGACACCACAAGCCAAAAATCAGGAAAACGGCCCGTCACTGCACAACAAAAAGCTCCCGTTATTTTGTGGCACAGTCGGTCCGTGACAGCCGCCACACTCCCGCAAACTCCCGCAAACCACACGGCAGACCAGTCAGCATCGGCCACGCACTCGGGTATCCTATCCATTTCACAACCGAGGAAGCGAAGCGGATATACCAGTGACTCGGCCCGCCTCCCGTTAGAGGTAGGCAGGCGCAGCGCGCGCAGAAGAGGGTCACAGAGCGTGATTCAGCGTGACGCCGGGTCAGGCGTGACGGGCGTGACAAGCACAGCGCACGCGCGGCGACCGACGCACAATGACGCGCCGCTGCGGCGGCAAAAAGTGACGGAAGGACGGAAGGACCGATCGAACATACGGCGTATTGACGCGGGAAATATGCGCTACCATGGCGACTGCATCGGGATTTGGGGAGAGGTTGATTGATAAAAATAGACAAAGTTAAAGTGATGAGGCAGGGCGCGGTGGTAAAATGGATTTCTCTGACAGAAGCTTGTTAGCACTAAGCCATCACATAAATTGAACTGGCAGATGCATTAGCTGATTCGAAGTTCTTAATGCCAGGGAAATTCAGCCCCAAGTCCCAGGAGTTAACTTAGAGAGTATGCTCAGAACAACTTCAGGAATACTCTGTTCAGTCAGCTGTCTGTCACAGCGCACCACAATCAGAAAACCAGTGCGAAATTTTTCAACGACGGTGGAGCATGTTCCCCACGATCCTTATTAGAAACATGACATCTGGGCAGTTTCACATGCATTTCCACCATGGCAGTGAAATCCCCGCGGCACACCTCAATCCTAGATATGACGGTGACTTGTTAGACAAAGCTCTGTGGCCGAAAATAAACCCGACCTTCTGGGTACAGCTCAAACAAACCTGCCGTGTCCGAACTGTAAACACATGGAGGGAGCGAACACCGAGCCTGCAGACGGAGAGTCACCTGCGCAGCTCCGCCAGCGAGCTCGGTACGTCCTAGAAACGATCGATAACACACCAGGGCGATAGCAAGGTGGCGTCGAGACTCGAGACCGACAGCAGCCATCCGGAAAGACTGCTGATATCATTTCGCCGGGCACTTCCGGACGATTCAAAGAAGTCGGAGATGGGAGGGGCGATATGGATCGGATCCACCCAGCGAGAGCAACAATCAATGAATGACAAAGTAAGAGTACATGTTTACCGAAATCGGAGACATACGTAGGCATGTGGCTATTCAATATAACCAAGGCCAAAGTTATGCGTGCGTTAGTTCAACGTTATCCACTATACAATGGAACTACTTAACCCTCGCCGGCCGAGGGGGGGGGGGGGCGGGTGCCGCCCCCCCATAGGGTTTTTTCGCGATAGCTCCGAACACGCTGGCGATAGAGAGCTGAAACTTGGCATACCTGACCTTTGATCCAAGCCGGATCTTTTGACACCAACCGCATTTTTGGGTCAGGTCAGGTCACTGACCTATGACGTCATAAGTGAACCTCTGCACGGTCTTCAGATGTCGCAACTTCACAACGCCCTCACTGCCAGAGGAGATGTCACAGGGAAATGAAACTTGCAGGATCTAGTATCCATTATGAGTCCCACAATTTGTATATCTCGGATTTTTCCTAAAGGTCATATGAGGTCAGGTCATTTTCGTGACCTCACCATTATAAGTCAATGGGGAAAAATTCAAACTGCTATTCTGGCACCGGGAACGATCTCCAACTATCTCAAGCACACAGAATCGTGATTTGATGCACTCCTTGCAAGGTTAGATGCGTCACTTTTGCAATGTTGACCTTGCGTGACGTCATTTATGACGTCATCAAGGTCATATTAGTTTTTCGTCAATAACTCTTGATGAAATTGAGCTAGCGGGTCGGGAAAGCCACCAATGGACTCAGGAAGACCTGCCGAATCGAATGATATGCGACATGACCTCTTTCGACCAACTTCGTGACCTGGGGGTGCTGACCTGACCTTGACCTGAGGTCAACACCCCAAGTTGACCTGACCCGGACAAAAAGTATATCATTCGACGCGCCTGAGCGAGACGAACACGATGCTGCCAAAATCGGCGCTCTGCGGCCGTTTTTTGCGAAGTTATTCACCAAAAACTGAACCGTACCTTGGGGCACTTGACCTGACCTCAGAGGTCACCGGTTGACCTAGGACCTTAAAATCGGGTACCAATCTCTGCCTCTCGTAACGGCGCACACGCTCGTTTTTTCCGCGACGCGCTAGCTCCACCAGGGGCGAAACGGCGAGGGGGGTCGTACCCGCCCCCCCCCCCCCCTCGGCCGGCGCGTATGTAGAAAACCAATAGGTCCGGCGAGGGTTAAACTCAACTGATGAATAATATACGCAGTTATGTCTATTTTTGACTCATGACATCACATGTCCTCTGATTGACTCTGACCCAAGCTGGATATTCAATCCACCGATACGGGAGGGATACCTACTCAGAACGTTCACGGACGAGGAAAACATCATTGCTCTTGTGTTGAGCGCCATGGGAATAGACCAGAAGCCGAGTTCGTGACGTCAGACCTCCTGTTATTCAACCGATTCCACGCAGTGAAGGATGCCGGTAGGCACTATTGCCATGAAATTCATGATGTCATAGGCAACGAGGCAATCAAGAGGGTAAGATAGTGATTAAGTGCTTCTTCGACGTACAGTACTGATGCATCGTAGCGTTAGATAGCGATAAAACGGATGATCAAGAAGGGGAACAACCTTGCCGACATCACCCACATCAGGCATCCATTCATTCGTCAACCGTACCCATGCCTCTGTGAGTCGGCTGGGAGCTAACAATGCCACAGTTCGGACTGAGGCGGACATTTCTCGGCAGAGCGGGGCACGTCCGGCCGGGAGAACTAGGCCGGCGCCGCTGGATTCCGGTGAAGGTCGGCTCAGGACTGCCGTTAGTGCTGACCCGCAGTGACCCGCTACCACGCACCTAACCGGCGTGGGAACCCCGGCCGGCACAGGGGCGGCGCGGCGGTACCAGACGGTGCCGGCAACGGAAGTCCGTGAGCGCAGGAAGAGAAAACACCCGCCCAGTCGCCGGGCCGGATCCGGCGGCGCCGTCCCGACCGATTGTACTCCGCACACCCCGGCGGCGACGGCACGGCGAGCCCACAGAGTCACGGTCACGTCCCAATCAAACCGTGAGCCGTGAACGCCGTCGTGAAAGTCAACACACTCTTATTGTTCATAGATGACCACAATCAAACCAAAGGAAGCCTCTTGAGAAAGAGAAAGCAGCCTGATGGTAGTAGTAATATAAAATAAAGTCATGAGAAATGGGTCCTTGGGTTCCCACCAGCTGCAGAACGAGTCCAACAGGTCCTAGCTCACGACAAAAGATTGGAGACGTCATCTATCATCACAGCGCGAGGAGCTGATATCAACTGTCTCCCTCTGTCCCAGATCCGTCGGTCCCACCAAGCTCATCAGTTCCTCGCCTCCCCTGACAGCGGGACACGTGGCTGGCGGCTAACCAACCATGAGACATGGGACGACACATGGCAGGGACAGGAGGGACAGAGCGGGCGGCGGATCGGAGGGAAGACAGTGAAAAATGGAGGATGGGAAACAGAATACTGAGGAGGTCGGCAAAGGACACGCTGAAGGACGAACAAGGACGTTCCGGGGAGCCACAAATATGCAGTAAAATGGAGGAAAGCATAACGCCCTGGAGCTCCACAAATTCCTGGAACATCCTATGTCCCCATTCCACCCTCCCCAGTCCCCACCCTCCAGCCAACCGAGGGTGCCAGGAACCGCCCAGACTCTGCTCCTCCGGCAGCCGCTAGACTAACACCCTCCAAACCCCGGCTACGACCCCACTGAATTAAACATGACGTCGGGCTCCAAACAGTCGAGCGGCAACTGCCGGGTCGGATCGGCCAGAGCTGGCCCGGTCAGTGGGGTGGCAGCCGGGGCCAGGTCAGGTGGGGGGGGGGGGGGGGTAACGAAGGGTCAGTCAGTCATCAGCAGCCGAGCAGAGGGCGGGGCCAGCCGCGTGCCTCAGCGCAGCGCGCGCAGCACGCGGTCCAGCCTAACGAGACGCAGCCACCGCCGCTAGCGCCGGAGGCCGGCCGACGCAGCTCTAATTGAAAACGGAGCCGCAGCCGGAGCCGGAAAACAACGCCAATGCTGGTATGGGCGTGACAGGCCATACAGTGGCCCGGGAGGGCCGCTGCCGACCTAGATACGAACCCGCATATAGCGGACAATTAACGTGTAATTACACGCAATACGTTACAGCGAAGGCCGGTGGTAAGAGGCCTGTCATCTACATTCTGCCAGACACCAAACACAATGAGCCTTCCAAGTTCCAAGCAAAGCCTTCCAAAGAAACTTGGGGTAGCTTCGCAATGGAATTAACCCCAACATTAGCGTGCAGCGTTCAGATCTAATTGCTATGGCACATCCTACGCACGAGACATCCATCAGCCTTCAACGTTTCACCGATGACAAGATCTATAAATAGAGCACTAGCGAGACCTTTACCCCCAACACACAGCCGTGGTGATTCATTATGTCATAACTAGCGCCATAAATCCCTCCTAGTCTCTGATTGCATGTCGCCACGCAGCCCCGCTCACGCCTTTCACATCCGGACACGATCCGGGTCATGTCCGCTTCAATGGGTCAGCGGGTCCAGTACGATCAGCTGATCGGGCGACCCGCAATCAGCTGATGTCATGCCCCGC